AGAGAGAAGTGGTGGTGAGGAGAGCACCTCCGACAGCCGGTCACGCAGCTCATGAGTGTAGATGCTGCGAGTGGGCACATGGAGTGGCTGTGGTACTCTGGATCACATGCGCACGGGGAGTGATTCTCGTGGAGAGCCGCTGTGTACAGCAAGGGAACTCACTGGGATGTGAATTGCAGACGGTGTGTGAAGGTCGATAAGGTGGATGCAGAGGGTTGGTGAGTCGGTGGAGGAAGGGGTGGGAGGGTGCAGATGGGGTGGGTGATTGTGTGGGTGGGTGCGTTGCGATGACACAGAGCGAGAGGAACTCACGTGCAGCGTGAAGACGGCGATGCAGATTGGCAGGCAGGTGCCCGGCCCGTTGCAGAGCAGCTGTGGTTTGATGGAAGGGGGCGGATGGACAAGGATGGACATGGATGGGCAATAATGGTAAGTTGAGAGCGCAAAAGGAGATGCACGTTGACGAAATGGCAGGTTCGCAGGGAACACGGGCAGAATGCAGCATGCAGCAGAAAAGAAGCTGTAGCAGCGCAAACGAGACAAGAGGCAAGACGCACAAGACACCCAAGGGAATCAGCACAAGACACCCAAGGGAATCAGCACAAGAGACCAGCAGGAAGCAGCACAAGGGAGGCAAAAGAGGCAAGGATCACGGATGGGCGCACCAGTTGGGGTCTGACGCGTGCCACAAGCAGCATGGCGTGCAGCGTGGCGGCGATGGTGGTGGCCACTGAGGTGATGTATGACTGCCCCACCTCTCGACTCCGATACACCGACAGGTACGAGGGAGGTGCGGAGGAGGGGGAAGTGGGCGCTTGCTGCTGTGCACGGGGTGGGAGAGCGGGGATGGGGAAAACGCAGGATGAGCACTGAGGTGGTGTATGACTGCCCCACCTCCAGACTCCGATACACTGACAGGTAGGAGGTGGGAAGGACGGGCGAGGCGGGAGCGGGAGAGGAGGAAGTGGGTGCTTTCTGGAATGGCTGGGATGGGAAAGTGGGGGTGGGATGATTGCAGGCTGAGGGTAGAGGCATGTGAGCCAGGCAGAATGAAAGGAGCATGATGGAACATGCCAAAGTTCGTAAAGATGGGCAGTGGTAGGGAGTGCGGGGCATGGAGTGGCGGTTGCCTTGCAGGGTGTGGGTGTGGAGAGAAACGGCAGCTTTGCAGGCCACAGCCAGGCAAGTGGGGTGGAGGAAAGTCGTGCAAACGGCCGGCGTGGTGGAACAGTTGCCTGGGCGAGTTCTTGCCTGGGCGAGGGCTTTATTGGGCAAGGGCTCTCCTGAGCGAGGGCAGTTGAGAGAGAGATTCGTTTTGAGAGAGAGATTCGTTTTGAGAGAGAGATTCGTTTTGAGAGAGAGATTCGTTTTGAGCGAGGGTGGTGGCGGGTCTCACCTGGGCGAGGGTGGTGGCGGGTCTCACCTGGGCGAGGGTGGTGGCGGGTCTCACCTGGGCGAGTGTGGCTTCTAGCTGGCGCGCCTTGGGCAGGCTGATGGCGTCAATGGCAGCAGCAATGTAGCAGCGCGGGCTGTAGCGCCCGTGGTCCAGGGCGCCCACTAGTCGCAGCATCTCCGCCGTGTGGCCCCCTGGGGAAGGACGGGGGACGGGAGGGGCGCATGGGGAGAGAGGAAGGCAGCGGCGCAGGCAGAAAAAGGGTGCAGGGGGAAGGGAGGTGCAGGTGGTAGGGAGGTGCAGGTGGTAGGGAGGTGCAGGTGGTAGGGAGGTGCAAGTGGTAGGGAGGTGCAGGTGGTAGGGAGGTGCAGGTGGTAGGGAGTGCGCGGCAGCAAGGAGGGCATGAGTGAGCGTGGGGATGCAGGGAGGGTGAATGTGTGTGGGTGTGCAGAAAGGGGTTGCCCGTGTGTGGGGAGAAAGAAAGGGCAGAGCTTGCAGCGCAGCAACGATTGTGTCGAGCAACGGTGCTGTATGAAACACGCAGAGAGCTGCTGAAGCGACAGTGAGGTTGGAAAATGAGCGTGATGGCGGAAGGTGGTTGGTGGGGAAGAGAGATGGTGAATGGTTGGTGGGGAAGAGAGATGGTGAATGGTTGGTGGAGAATGGGGAAGGGGAGCAAGGGGAGTGCGAATGTGAGCACCTGAGCCCAGCACGATAAGCACCTGAGCCCAGCACGATAAGCACCTGATCCCAGCACGATAAGCACCTGAGCCCAGCACGATAAGCACCTGATCCCAGCACGATGAGCGTGGAGAGGCGATCCCCAGGCGGCCTCTTGCGGTGGGGGCGGCCCACGGCGTGCAGCACGAGCAGCACGCGCAGCAGCAGCAGAGCTACCATAGCCGTGAGGGCGAGGGAGAGGGGCGAGGCGGGCAAGGAGAGGAGAGAGAGAAGCTCGGCTGCCATGCTGCGTGCTGCGTGCTGCTTGTACGTGCTGCTTCCTGTTGAGTTCAACTGTTTGAATTAGCTGGAATTGGGCCGGCGGGCCCTCTGCTATGCAGGGTGGAGATCAGAGGGCTGCTCTGGGGGCGAGGGCACGGGGGGCGGAGGGCGCGTGGGGCGGAGGGCGCGCGGGGCGGAGGGCGCGCGGGGCGGAGGGCGCGCGGGGTGGAGGGCGTGCGGGACGGAGGGCGCGCGGGACTGAGGACGCTCGGGGCAGAGGGCACGCGGGATTGAGGACACGCGGGGCGCGGGGCAGACGGCACGCAAGGCCTGGGCACGTGGGACACGGACTGGTGTGGGCGTGCGAGGGCATCACAAAATTGTTTGTCCCCCTTACTATGTACTTATAGGTTCTGCTATATTGTAGATACGGAGCTATATGGAGTAAATTGCTTGTAGCAGAACCTATAGGTACATTGTACGGGGGGGGAACAATTTTGGGATGGGCGGCCTGGCGGGGTGGATGATGGGTTGCGCTCCCACTATGCGGGTCTGAACGAGCGGACGCGCGACGGTGCGGATGCTGCAAACGCGAGCAGCGGCGAGGACGAGACGACGCGACGCGACGAGGTGAGCGCGGGTGTGCGCGACGGCGGGAGATAACCCCAAGGTGCGACGGCGGAGCGATCACTGAGCGAAGGGCAGCGACAGGCGGAGCGACAGGCGGAGCGACGCAGGCGGAACGACACAAGCGGAGCGACACTGGCGGAACGACACAGGCGGAACGACGCAGGCGGAACGACACAGGCGGAACTTTGGACTCCAATGCGCATTCCGTAACAAAGGTGGCGGGTGGGAATTGGTCGGTTTGAGAGATTTGGGATTTGAGAAGGAAAGTGCTGATGCGAAAGCAGAGTCGGAGAGTTTTTCGTTTGGCGAAAGCGAATTGAAGGTGAGACGAAATAGAAATGTCAGATCTGAGTTTCCTCGCATTTCAGCAGTGAGTGGGTCCCCTCGCGGGTTACTCTGTGGGAGATTGTATCCCGCGCAGCGCTTACGATGCTGACACGAATCGGGCCACCATGGACCCTGAACGCGTCCCGAGTCGAGTTCGAGCCTGCTTGCGTCAACGGCTCTCAATACATTTCACTGTGTAGCGTCGGTATCCGCTCGGTAGCGGCCTCCGTAGCGCTACCGGGCTACCAACCCCCAGCAGCCACCATCCTGGATTCTCACGGTTTTCCGCTTCTCGTTCCGTTCTGGTCTCGAGCCCTACTTGCCGTTCCATCTTGGATTCTTGAACTGCGAAAGCGATTCTGTGAGGCACTAAGACTCTTAGTGCATTGAGTGTCTCGTACTATCTATGTACATGTTTTTTGGGTTGCGTAGCAACCCTTTATATTTGGTTTCACATTTTGGGGATATCATTCGAAGAGTGTTATTTACGCACTTTTTGGAGCACTCGTTTGAATGTTTTGAAACTGTGTTCAAACGGATGCCTCAAATAGTGGATAAAAAACTCTCTTGAATGAGCTCCCCAAAACACGTAAGCACGTACGTATCATGTTGAAACCATGAACTTGCTCGACCGTCATAACCTCGTCGATAAAAACGGCGGATCATGCGGCCGAGCATAATATTCTGGCATCGACATGAACGAATGCAATTTTACAAATGAACAAGGTATGAGGTGGAGTGAATGCTTCAAAATGAATGTTAAAATGCATCATGCAGCAACAGAGGTTGATGGGGTCGTTGAAACAGCGAAAACACGCTGCCCCAAAGACGATTAACAACCTCTAATTGCATACATAACACATACTAACACCACACTTTGAAACACACATCCCACAAACACGAATGCAAACGCACGTAAAAAAAGTACAACCCACGTAACCGAATGCATCGAAGTGCAACCCCACAGTGAAACAAACACAATGACAAGACATGAACACACACCCGCATAAACACACCCGCACCGCACACACATACATACACAAATAGGATTGAGAGCAGACAAGCATAACAAAGAGTTGCAATAAGTTAATTATGTATCAATTACTGCTACCTTGTCCGCCCCTTCCTCCCCCTTTCCGCCTTCCTTCCTCTCCCTCTACCATCGAAATCTCCTCCCACCCTTTTCCACATTGTCTTCTCTCTCGATCCCTCCCTGCTCCCCACAACGCGTCTCGCACACCTTGCAAAACAAACCGTTCAAGCAGAAAATGAATTGTAGTCGGAAAACGGAGTGAACTATTCAATGAAGAGCACGCACTTGATTGTGAAATGAGACTTGAAAGAAATATGATAAGTACAAAAGAACACCGCATTCGACGACTCACAAGCGTGGTTTGAAGCATAGATCCCCTGGGGTCACGCAGACCACGCTGGTGTGCAGCAAGGCTCCAGTGAGCAAGGTGCCTTGGTGCAACGAGCTGGGCATCGCCATGCTACAAGGTGCCAGAGAGTTGCAGCAAGGCACTGGGCAGAGGAGCAAGCGGGCTGCCGTAACAAGGCATGAGCTCACTTCAGCAAGGCGTGAGCTCACTGCAGCAACGCGTGAGCTCACTGCAGCAACGCGTGAGCTCACTGCAGCAACGCGTGAGCTCACTGCAGCAACGCGTGAGCGTCTGCACAAATTTACCAGCGCGCTGCCGCAACAAAGCTACCGCAGGAATTTGCCAGCGCCGCAAACAAGGCAGCAGCGCACAAGCCGCCAGCACGCTACAAGGTGCCAGCGCGATGCGAGGGCACCTGCAGGGCGCCAAACGTAAGGCGCCAGCGCGTAAGGCGCCAACGCGTTAGGCGCCAGTGCGTAAGGCGCCAGCGCATTAGGCGCCAGCGCGTTAGGTGCCAGCGCGTAAGACGCCAGCGCGTTAGGCGCCAACGCGCTAGGCGCGTGCGCATTAGGCGCCAGCGCGCTAGGCGCCGGCGCGTTAGGCACCAGCGGGCTATGCGCCAGCGCGCTAGGCGCCAGCGCGTTTGGCGCCAGCGCGTTAGGCGCCAGCGCAGCAAGCGCCAGCGCGCTAGGCGCTAGCGTGTTAAGCGCTAGCGCGCTAGGCGCCAGCGCGTTTGGCGCCAGCGCGTTAGGCGCCAGCGCACCAAGCGCCAGCGCGCTAGGCGCTAGCGCGTTAGGCGCCAGCGCGTTTGGCACCAGCGCGTTAGGCGCCAGCGCTCTAGGCGCCTGTGCATTAGGCGTCAGCGCGCTAGGAACCAGCGCGCTATGCGCCAACGCGCTAGGCGCCAGCGCTCTAGGCGCCAGCGCAGCAAGCGCCAGCGCGCTAGGCGCTAGCGCGTTAGGCGCCAGCGCTCTAGGCGCCTGCGCGTTAGGCGCCAGCGCGCTAGGCGCCAGCCCGTTAGGCGCCAACGCGTTATGCGCCTGCGTGCTCGCTCCCGTGCGCACACACTGCCTCACACTCCCTCTCTCCCCTTTTTAAAATGGAGGCACAATGCTAAGAGGAGACCAATCGGCATTGAGAACTTACGAGGAAAGTGGAAAAATAGGACATTTTGGAGAGAGTGGCAAACGCACCTGAGACAACCGTGCCTAAGAAAACAACGCGTGGTCGTGCAGCAACCCACCAAAGGCGACGGCGTGAAGGGAGGGAGAGGCGATGAGGAGGAGGAAGGGAGAGCGACGGCGGGGAGGGAGGGAGAGGCGACGGTGGGGGGTGAGGTGAGGTGACGGCCGGGAGTGAGGGAGAGGTGACGGCAAGGTGGTTCCAACAAAACGAGTGGGAAGGTATTTGGGGTGGGAAGATAAGGGGAGATCGGAGTCGAGCAGGTGCTTGAATTCAAGAAACGGGACTCCCAAGGGAGCAGATTTGACAGTGGGGAAAGGTTTGGTTGGGTTTGTGTAGCGCTGGCAAGAAAATTTTCTGCCAACGAGCCACGAATCAGTTTTCACAATCGAAATACATCAGTTCCTTTATACTCGCCAAAATCAAGAAAGTTGTAGATGATTATTTTTAGCTGTTTTTGTGACACATAAGATTTGGCTGCAAATACACAAACTCACTAGAAAACAATATTGCTTAAGAAAACAAATAAACTTATATTTAAAAAAAAATGCCATTAACAACAATCAGTAGTAGTAATAAATTACCGTAAGCAATAACGAAATAAATAACTTACAAGCATGTTACAAAGAGACATAGTTCGTTGCTTTCTCTATATACCATAAGTATACTATCAAGCAGTTCATAATGTCTTAACACGAAAAATATGTCCTACGCAACCCTTCCGACGTTAACGTCGAACCTTGTCTACATTCAATTTACTCTATATCGCTCCATATCTACAATGTAGAAAAACCTGTATGTACATAGTACGTGGGCCAAACATTTTTGCGTCGGAGCAGCGGTGGAGGCGAGCGAGGCGCGGGCCAGACAAGCTGGTGAGGGCGACAAGGTAGAAAGAGGCGAGGCAGATGGCGGGAGCGGGGGAAATTAAGTTGCGTGAGGTGGCGCGTGACGCTGCCGCGGCGAGAACAGCAGGGCGGGAGGTGGAGGTGTTAGGAGCGGTGAGGGAGGCAGGGAGAGTGGTGTGGCAGAGAAGATCGAGGAGGAAGCTGGGAGGATGGGGCGAGCCGCTGTGTGGATTGAGAACAAGTACTACGAGCCTCGGTTAAGCGGGACAGCTAAGCGGAATCGCGAGAGCGTGGAAGCGCATTTGCCGAAACCCATGAAGGTGTGTTCAAGCCGCTCTTCCCGTTGTGCCCCATCCACAGATCCTTGTTCTCTGTCAATCCCCTTCCCTGCCTCCCTCCGTTTAGTGCCTCTTCTGTCCCCTACCCCATCGCTCCCACCCCTCTTGCCTCTCTCCGCTTGTCTCTCCCCCGTGGTCCTTCACCCCACCCACCCTAATACCTCCCTTGGCCCTCCTTTCCTCTGTTTCCCTATCCCACTCCCCGGGGCACAGTTCTTGCGCGCCCTGGCTGCAGCTGTAGAGGACGTGGGGGGGAGCACGCGAGCGGCAGTGGGGCAGATCCGCGCACAGGGGGACAGATGCGCGCGAGGGGTGGGGGAGAAGGGGAAGGCGGAGGAGATTCCGTGTGAGGAACTGGTTGGGTGTGGTGAATCAGGTGTGGGGAACGGTGTGGAGGCTGGGGTAGGAAAGCCGCCAAATAAGAGGTTTTGCGAGGCAGAGGAGAGTGCGATGGGGGAGAGGAAGAAGCAGAAACAAGTGGAGGGGAAATGGAGTGAGGCAGGGATGAGTGGGCGAGAGGAGGAGGTGAAGGGGGCGGTGGTGGAGGTGGAGGGGGCAGTAGAGGAGCTTCAGGAGTGTGTGGAGGAGCGGGTGGGGGAGATTCTCAAGGGGGTGCCGCGGATTGGGGACAAGCTGGAAGGGAGGGTGCATGACGAGGCGGGGTGGACGTGGAGGAAGGCCGTGGTGTACCAACTTTCCCAACCCGGCATGGCAGAGGTGTTGTATGCTCTGCTGCACTGCAACCACGTATGAGGCAGGTGTGGTGGTGCTGTGATGCAAGGCAGGTGTGGTGGTGCTGTGATGCAAGGCAGGTGGGCACGTGGTACGTACTGCATATTGCATCCACCCTCTGTACGTAGTGTGCTCTCCACACTTGTCATTGTTTCTGAGGCGATGGAGGAGTCGTGGACGCGTGGAACACTTTTGTTAGCCCTGCATCTTTCCCGTCGTGGCCATGATTGAAAATTATCACGCCCAATTTCTTTGTATTGTGTCTCTATTTCATTTTTACTGAACCGCTGTACACATTTAAATGGCCATCACATAGCTGTGCCATATAAGATGACCGATTTAAGCAAACGCTGTCATATCTAACCTTGCTACTCACTCACTGTGTGCTCCACTTATCTACCGGTTACTTCCTTCCTTCCACCCTTCGCTTTCATACACCTCTCCTTTCTCCCCTACTTCCCTGTATCTTGCATCGCTTCATGCCTCCCTCGCTGCGTTCTCCCCTTTCCCCCTACCCATTCTCGAGTCCAGATCCTCGTTTCTCCCTGACCTCCGTGTGCGCGGGGCGGTGTGTGCAGATGCTGGAGGCCATCACAGCGCATGGGGACGCCATGAAGGCCAAGGTGCAGCACGTGCGGGGGCAGGTGCTTGCATGTGCGGGGGCAGGTGTGTGCACTCGTGGAGAGGGTGGCTGGTGGGCGTGGCGCAGTTGAGCAGAGGAGGCAAGCGGGTCACGCAGAGCATGGGGCTGTGGAGGTCAAGAGGGAAGAGGGGCAGGGGGGAGTGGTGGTGAAAGAGGAAGAGGAGAAGGGGGTAGTGGTGGTGAAAGGGGAAGAGGAGCAGAGAGGAGTGGTGGTGAAGAGAGAAGAGGGGCAGGGGGGAGTGGTGGTGAAGGAAGAAGTGGAAGTTTCTGTCGACGATGGGATGAAGAAGGACACGACGGAGGGCACGTAGGCAAGAGGGTGTGCAGTGGGTGGACCGATGGGTGAGGGGGTGCTGTAGAGATGGCGTGTGGGGTAGTAGGCTTGAGCTTGCACCCTGCAAGGTACAGCAGGCTGCTTGCGTGTGGTAATCTGGTGGCGAATGGATGTGATGCATACATGTGATGCATGGTGTCGCGCTGAGTGCGGCTAACTGGTGGGTCAGACGCACTTAACACAGCAGCTAGGGTAAGTGGGATAACGTTGTTTACCTTTGTTACTTTCTTTCTTTGCTTTCTTGCTTTCACGCAGTTTACTGTACTATACTCTTATCTGTAATTTGGGAGGCGAATTGGTGAGGGAGGGGTCAAGGAGGAGGAGTTTGGCAGGTGGAGGGCAAGCTCAGGCATTTGAATTCGAAGCTGGCAACTGAATTCGAACTGGATTCGAAGCTGGCAATTGAATTCGAAGTGCTGGCAATTGAATTATCCGCCAACTTGCCTGGATGGCGGTGCATGCCCAGTGGGTCCCAGCTCGAGCCAGCTAGCTCCTGGAATTCCTCGTGACTAGCTCAGAGAGCTCGGAGGCTCACAGCCACTAGGCAGAGGATAGGCAGGAGGGAGAGCAGGGTAAAATTGCTAGGGAGGATTCTGATTCACTCGCTTTTTGCTTGTATGTTTCTCTATTACTGCAATCTTGTTTTCCAATCCAAGGAAACACAGCAGTAGGGAGGAGCTGAGGCAATTTGACGGAGCCCTTGTTAGGGAGGATTAAGACTTGTTTCATACAAGCAAAAAGGGTGGTGCTGAGATTTCAGCGGACAGGCACTGACGCCTGGAGTTGCTTACGGTGATGCACCGTAGGGGATGACTGTCCTTGATCAAGATCTACACACTCATCAACTGCGCTCGGGTCACAGATTTCCCGCGCGGATGATGGAGGGACAAGGTCAGCCGACCATGACGGCCGGATTTCGGGCAGGCGAAGGAGTTGTGAACGTGCGCAACAGCAGGAGCGTGGATCAAGTGAAGGATGGAGACGGACAGGGAGAGCAGCCACCGAATTCGACCTGCAATTCACCCGATCTAGGGAATGGGTCCAGATCGGTTGGGGGTGGCGGATCTCAGCACGTAACACCAGAACCGAGAGGAGGAAAAAATCACGAAGATTGGCGAAATCAACGAGAAGCAGAGGCGGATCACGGCTTTTCGGCGGGAAGGTATGAGTGCATGGAGGCAGGACGAGGAGATCGGCCTGCTGGGAGTGGCGAGAGGGGAACAGCCAGCTGGGGGACGGGAAGAACGATGAGCGTTGCGCCTCCTAAGATCGAGGTGCCTGATCGCTTCTCGGGAGTGCCTGGAGAAGAGCCCACGCTCAAGAATTATCTCATGATGGTGGACGACACCCGTTACTGCTGGGAAAGGGAGGGACTAGATCCCATTGAATTTTTTAAAGGCTTGGGGAGAACTCTCAAGGGAGAGGCGTTGACACACTATCGAGTGGAGAGGCAGGGACTACTGATGCAGAGCCGGCGAGGAGACTTCCCACCGGCTGAGATCACTGACCGATTCTTGGAGAGTCTGCGAGAACAATTCCCGGGGCATTTGGCAGAGCGGATAACGGAGTTTCAGGATTTTAAGAGGACGAGAGCTGAATCTCTGCTAGCCTATTACAATCGATTGTTGGAGCTGGCGGAAGATATGGGTTGCGTAGAAGAACGTACCCTGGTGTCCAAGTTCGTGGGCGGCCTTGAGGAGGACCTGATGCAAGACATGAGAAGCCGACTATATGCGCTGGGGATGAAAGCGAAGTTGCGGCAGGTGTACCAAGTGGCGAAGGAAGTAGAAGAGGGAAGGAGATTCTTTGATGGTTTGCAAGGAGCGAGCAACAGTCGACCAAGCGAACGCAGGAGGCCTGCTTGGGCTGCTGTGGAAGGAAGACGGGTGGAGGAGGAACGAAGAGATAGGTCGTTTGAAGATAGGTGACGGTGTCACAAGTGCGGAGAAAAGGGGCATGTGCGGAAGGACTGCGCCATCGACATCGTGTGCGACACATGCGGAGTGAAAGGACATTTCAGGCGCGACTGTCCTAAGGCTCCAATCTTCACCAGCTGTGGAAAACGAGGTCATAAGGAAGAGAAGTGCTACAGCAAGAGAGAGAAGGTGGGGGGGAAATCAGCAAGAGAGCTGCAGCTGGAGCGAGAGCTAGCGAAGTTGAAGGCACAGATGGGGAAGGCTGAGATTAGCGAAGATCCTGAGAAGGCTCTGCTAGCGTGGGAGGACGAAGAAGAAGAAGATTTCGAGGAGGAAGAGCCGGAGTATGGAGTAATGGCCATGCAACGGAGGGACTGAGAGAGCCTGGGGTTAAGGAGCAGAGGGGTGGACGGCAGAGCGGAGCAGAGGCAGCAGGAGAGAAGAACTCCTAAGCAACATGAGAGGACCAGCAAGCCTAGGACGGCGCGGCGACATCCGGAAGAGAGGCTAGTCTGTCAGCCCACAGCTTTGGTGGTAGAGCCCAAGGCAGTGGCTGTGAGAGGGATACTAGTGGAGAACGCAGTGGTGGACACGAGCGCACAGAGTGTGCTGCTTGGGAGGAAGCTGGCAGAGCAGCTGCGGACGCAGGGTAGTTTGGAGACAGTGAGTCGGGGAATACTAATCATGACAGCCGAAGGAGGAGCACCCAAGTGGATGCCCTGCACCAAGGAGCCAATCGAGATTACTCTGCAGCCAGGGGGGGAGGGAGAAACGAAGATAAGGGTGCAATGCGGGTTGACTGAATCAGACGACTACGATATTCTGCTGGGGATGGAGCTGTTGTACAAGATCGGAACCACGATATGCACCTGGCAGGAGCAGGTACTATACCGTTCAGATTTTTAGGAGGAAGGGAAGGAGCTGAGTGAGCTGCCAGTGCGGTTTATTAAGACAGAACCAAAGAATTCCTGGAGGGCGGAAGGCATGAGAGGAGAAGGAAGCAAACGAGGTGGGAGTGCAGAGGAAGGCAAAACTGGAGCAAGCTTAGACCAGCACAGTGTCACGCTAGTGGAGCTGTTCGGGGGGCTAGGAGCAGGCTTAGCAGCAGCACTGGAGGCAGGCCTGAAGGTGAAAAGGTGGATATATGTGGAGATAGATCCGGACGTGAGGAGGATGGCTTGGAAGCACGCGCAGACGTTGCAGAAACGATACCCTGCCCAGCTGACGAAAAGCGTGTTACGAGAGGCCATGCAGAACAATAAGTGGGATGTGAAGCAGATCACCAAGGAGGATGTGGGAAGCTGGGGAAAGGTGGACCTGTTAGTAGCCGGATGGGAGTGTCAGGGTACATCCAGAGCAGGGAAGGGAAGGGGAATGCAGGATGAGCGCACGGGGTTGGTGACAAAATTGCTAGCGATTATGAGATGGACGAGGGAGGCTGGCGGGGAGTACGCATACATCTTAGAACATGTGGATATGAGGGGTGATGCCCGGGAGCCGGTCAGAGCGGTGCAAGAGCTGGTGGAAGCAGAACTGGGAAGGGGAGTTAGCTGTGACGGTGCTCAGCTGGGGGCACGAACTCATCGGGTCAGACGGTTCTGGCAAAATGTCCTGCCAGAAGGGGAGCTGCGAGCACGGTTAGCAAGGGTGGAAAGAGATGAGACGAGGATTGTGGAGGATATTCTAGAACCAGGGAGGGTGGCCGCACCAGTGAGCAAACCTGATCATCCTCTGCAATACCAGTGCAACCGGGTGGGGGAGGCGCGAAGAGCCTGGCCGACACTGGTGGCGTATTCAGGAGCACGGGGTTTCATAGAGCAGGAGGGAACACCGGGCCCCGGGATGGTATATGACCACCGCAAGAAGAGATGGGAAGAGCCAACAGCTTTGGAGCGCGAGCTGGCCATGGGGTACCTACCTGGAGCAACCGCAGCAGAGGGAGTGGGGGAGGAATTACGTAGAGCAGCCTTGGGCAGAGCGATAGATCAACATTCGTTGAGATGGCTGATTACCGAGATGAAGAAGGGTCCTGGACAGAAGGGGGGGAAACGGGAAAGGAAAGGGAGTCAGTGCTACCAGCAAGCAGCATACGCAGCAACCGAGAAGCCAGCAACCGGAGAAGAGACCGCCAAGGCGCAACCAGGAGCCGGGGGAGAAGAACCGGGTAAGGAATGGGAACTGGGAGCAGACATAGAGAAGGGGGCAGCTGAGGCGATCAAGCAGGTACCGCAGCAGCATAGGGGCACTTTTGCATACAACCTGTAGGAGTTGGGTAGGTACAAGGGGAGAGAGCTGGAGCTTAATCTCACCACCGAGTTACCCACATACCAGCGTAGGAGGCGAATGAACGCTGAGGATGCCGCCATCTGCAAGGAGAAATGTGATGAATTACTGGCCGCAGGGATCATCCGCCCGTCCGAATCGAGTTACGCAGCCGCTACTGTGGTAGCAGCTAGGAAGGATATCACCGGGAAGGTGCTGGCAAAGCGGATGTGCAGGGATTTCAGAGATTTGAATAAGATCACGAGCCTGGACAGGTATCCCATGCCGACTGCAGAGGAGATTTTTGATCGATTGGAAGGCGCCACCACCTCCACTCTGGACCTGCGACAAGGGTTCAACCAAATCGCCATTCGAGAGGAAGACAAGCGGAAAACAGCCTTCCACGGGGTGGATGGACTGTATGAGTATAATGTGATGCCATTTGGGTTGCGCAACGCCCCTGCAGTGTTCCAACGAGCGATGGATCAGGTGTTGAAAGGGATCCCAGCGGCAGCCTGCTACATAGACGACGTCCTGATCTACAGCAGCAGTGACGAGCAACACGTACAGGACCTTAGACGGACACTGGAGGCGATAGCAGCGGCCGGGCTGACGTGTCACCCAGAGAAGTGTAAGATAGCCAGACGTACTGTGGCCTACCTAGGCTTTGAAGTGAGAGGAGGCAGACTAGCAATACAGGAAGCCAAGGTCAAGGTGTTAGAGGATCTGGCCGCCCCGAAGGACAAGTCAGGGCTGAGAGCGCTTCTTGGCTTCCTGAATTATTACAGGAAGTTCGTGCCGAACTTCAGCCGCCGCGCCCACGTCCTGAATCAGTTGCTTAGGGAAAATAGGAGCTGGCAGTGGGGGAAAGAGGAGGAAGCAGCAAGGCAGGACTTGCTGGAAGCAGTAAGAACAGGTACCCTGCTGCAGATACCACGGGCGGACGCACCATTTACCCTCTACACGGACTGGAGCAGTATGGGGATGGGGGCAGTGTTATGTCAGGAGGTGGACGGGGAGGAGAGAGTGGTAGCATTCGCCAGCCGCAGCTGCAGTCCCACTGAGGCCAACTACTGCTCGTACAAAGGGGAGGGCTTGACAGCAGTATGGGGGATCACTCACTTCAAGGTCTACCTGCAGGGCCGACACTTTACCTTGGTGACGGACCACCAGCCACTGTTGTGGTTGATGAAGAACCAGGAGCTGACCGGGAGGAACGCTAGGTGGGCAATCAAGTTGTTGGGGTTTGACTTTGAGATTCGCCACAGGCCAGGTAAAACATTACAGCATGCAGACGGTCTATCAAGGAACCCGCCTCCTATGCAGCCAGTAGCGCAGCTGAGAGCCATGGCGCCGAGGGTCCAGGGCACCTGGGGGCAGAGCAAAGGGGAGCAGCGACAAGTGGACGTATGGGAAGATAAGGAGACTATGTGCTGGATCAAGGGGGAGCCGTTAGAGGAGGAAGGAGCAAGTGAGCGAGCCAGAGCTAGGGGGCAGCATTACCGATGGTTTCAGGACCAACTGCAGCTGCGAACAAGTGAAGGCTGGAGGGTGGTACCACAGTTGCGCGAGAGGGAGAAACTCATGCTGAGGATTCATGGGAAATTGGGGCGCTACGGCATAGCTAGAACGCGGCAGCTGCTGAGTACAATGTACTGGTGGGCGGGCATGGGAAAGGACGTAGCAGCACTGGTGGGGAACTGTGAAGCATGTCAGAGGAATAAGGCGAGGCTAGAAAGGGAGCGAGACGAGCTGCATTCCTTACCAATCAGAGGGTTGGGTTTCCGCTGGTCGCTGGATTTGGCAGGTGAGCTCCCGCTATCTAAGGGAGGCAAGCAGTACATACTGGTGATGGTGGAGCACACCAGCTAGTGGGTGGAGGCACGAGCTCTATCTAGCAAAAACAGTGGGCTGATAGCGGACGCATTCGTGGAATAGGTACTCACCAGGTTTGGGGCATGCGGAGAAGTACTTACCGACCAAGGTACTGAGTTCCAAGGGAGTTTTGACGAGTTACTAAGGGAGACGGGTATCACCCACCGGGTCACCTCAAGGTACCACCCCCAATCGGACGGGCTGACAGAAAGACTGATACAGACACTGAAACGCGGACCCAGAGCCTATAGTGAATCGCATAAAAGGAGTTGGGATCGGGAGCTCTGGTGGGTCCTGGCTGGATATCGGTTTGCCAAGCAGGCGGCGCTGAAAAACTTGTCCCCGTATCACCTTTTGTACGGACGGGATTCTGTGCTGCCGGTGGACACTCCGAAGCTGCTCTCAGCGGTGGTAGAGGCCGATGAGCCAAGCCTGTGGGCAGAACTGGCACAGAGGAGGGCTAGTTATCTGAAGGAGCTCACGCCAGCCGCGCTAGATAACCTGCACGTGGCACAGCTGAGGGATGCTAGGAGGTATCAACAGCGTAAGGCAGCGGAAACAGGGGATCAGCGAGAGAGCATGGAAGCGGGACAGGAGGTGTATCTGCGGAAGGTCAAGCGTGACACCTTAGACTTGGCAGTTGGACCAGAACGGTGGAAGGTGAAGGAGGTGAGGGAATCTGGAGTATTAGTGCTGGAGGACATGCGGGGAGCACACATCAAAGAGCACGTCACGAACATGGCAAGAGCAGGCGGAGAGAGGCCTCAGGCTTTGGGTCCCGTGACCAGAGCTGCCAAAGCAAGAGCTCAGGCATGGGAGGGGGCAGGGCAGCCTGACATACGAGGAGACGGAAGGGACAGCTTGATCACATACTCCAGGAGGAAGAAGGGGCAGGTAGAAGCTCCTGTGGCCAGCAAGAAGGGACAGTAAGAGGGACGGGAGAGGTCGACAAGTGTGGGGAGGGAGTGACGGTGAGAAAAGGAAGAGGGAGAAGAAGCCTTGGGTACCGGACAAGGGAGGGGAGTGGAGGCACCGGAAGAGAAGGGAGTGAGGGAATGGGTTGGAATCACGACAGCTGTCGCGCTGAGTGCGGCTAACCGGTGGGTCAGACGCACTTTGGGATAATGTTGTTTACCTTTGTTACTTTCTTCCTTTGCTTTCTTGCTTTCACGCAATTTACTGTACTATACTCTTATCTGTAATTTGGAAGGCGAATTGGTGAGGGAGGGGTCAAGGAGGAGGAGTTTGGCAGGTGGAGGGCAAGCTCAGGCAATTGAATTCGAAGCTGGCAACTGAATTCGAATTGGATTCGAAGCTGGCAATTGAATTCGAAGTGCTGGCAATTGAATTCAGCCTGGATGGCGGTGCATGCCCAGTGGGTCCCAGCTCGAGCCAGCTAGCTCCTGGAATTCCTCGTGACTAGCTCAGAGAGCTCGGAGGCTCACAGCCACTAGGCAGAGGATAGGCAGGAGGGAGAGCAGGGTAGAATTGCTAGGGAGGATTCTGATTCACTCGCTTTTTGCTTGTATGTTTCTCTATTACTGCAATCTTGTTTTCCAATCCAAGGAAACACGGCAGTAGGGAGGAGCTGAGGCAATCTGACGGAGCCCTTGCTAGGGAGGATTAAGACTTGTTTCGGGCAGCCTGACATACGAGGAGAAGGAAGGGACAGCTTGATCACATACTCCAGGAGGAAGAAGGGGCAGGTAGAAGCTCCTGTGGCCAGCAAGAAGGGACAGTAAGAGGGACGGGAGAGGTCGACAAGTGTGGGGAGGGAGTGACGGTGAGAAAAGGAAGAGGGAGAAGAAGCCTTGGGTACCGGACAAGGGAGGGGAGTGGAGGCACCGGAAGAGAAGGGAGTGAGGGAATGGGTTGGAATCACGACAATGGATGTGATGCATGGATGTGATGCATGGATGTGATGCATGGATGTGATGCATGGATGTGATGCATGGATGTGATGCATGGATGTGACGCATGGATGTGATGCATGGATGTGAGTTGTCGCTCCCTTGACAAGTGACCACTGCCCTTGATGTGCTTGTTTAGCTGGGAGTGCCGATTGTTGCCATAGTCATGGCGTTCTGTTGACCTTTGCATGTGCCAAGTTGTGTACAGCACGCTTAAAATCAGAAAAATTGTACATAGTACCGTGCATATCAGCGCTGCAATCTCGGTCTATTGTGTACACTGTAGGGTGAAATGCCCAGAAACATGGCAGCTAAACCATCTGTTCTGTAGCGATAGAGGGCGCAGCATTTCAAAGCAGTGCAAATCCACTTCTCCAATCCTGCTACATAGCGCCATCAGAGCTTGCCAGATGAGCGAGCTGCACCACAGTTTATTTGTGCCACTGTCCACTTTATTACCACTAGTTTCCTGATTCTACCGTATCAGTTTGGCTTGCCCTTGGTTATGCGGCAGCCTTTCCGGGGTCGCTCCCATATGTAGTGCATGTTGTTGATTCCATTTGCAACTGCAGCATGGTTACCAAATCACTGTAACTCGTAGCTGCACCACTTGCTACCCAGCCTCTCCATGCCCCTTCGCCTCTGCCTCCAGCGCGCCCATAAGTGTCTTACCAAACACCACATGCAGAGCATGGCTCGCCTGCTCATAGAGGGGGGAGGCAAGAAGGGTGGAAGAGATGAGGGAGGGGGGTTGTGGGGGCGAGGTGACATGAAGGCAATTTAGAGGGTGGGGGCTTGAAGGTCACAGAGAGAGACAAACCTCAACAGGCACGCACGACACGACCACTGGTGCCAAGGCTCAGCACTCACTTTATAGGCCACTATGTGCGCGTTGGGAATGCCGGCGTTGCCCCCCCTGGCACAGAGCGCCAGATCCCCTATGAGGTCCAGCAGCTTGTGCCGACATGGCTCCAGAGGTAGCCGTAGCGGGGGGTTCACCCACCCTCGCGTTTGGCTGCAGGGAGGGAGAGAGCAGGGCCAGTGAGGGAGAAAGGGATGTGCGGGCGAACAGGGTCTTCGACAGCTTTGTGACAGCACGGCTCCACAGGGAGTCACCCAACAACATGAGTCGTGAAGGGTGTGCCATGCCAAGAGACGTGTGCCATGCCAAGAGACGTGTGCCATGCCAAGAGACGTGTGCTTGCACTGCGGTGCCTGGATGCACATGCAGAATACCATGCTCTCCCTCCTCCCTTGCACTCGCACAGCTCAAGGCTTTTCCACCTTCCAACACTGCATCCCCCCACCTGCATGGCACCTCTCCCCAGCACACCTGCACAGCAGTGATATCACCGCCCCCACGCTCACCTGCACAGTAGTGATATCACCGCCCCCACGCTCACCTGCACACGAGGGCACTGCGCTGACCTGCACACGAGGGCATTGTGGAGTGAGCCGCCCTTGATGAGCCCCGCTGCTCGCATCTGCTCCACCTGCAGCGAGAGGGGGCAGCAAGGTGCAAGGGGGCGCAGGTCGGGGGGCGCAGGTCGGGGGGCGAGCAGCAGGATTGAAAGGGAGTGGACGAAAGAGGAGAGAGCATGGTTCAGTGAGGCACCTCTCGTGAACCCCTCTCCTCTCATCTGCTCCACCTGCTGGTGGGACAAGTGAGTGGGGCAACAGAGACAAGTGAGTGGGGCAACAGAGACTAGTGAGTGGGGCAACAGAGACAGGGCAAGGGATGAAGAAAGAGTCTGGGCAAGACAAGAGTGCAGAGAGGCGGTAAGCTTCCCGTGCCACCATTGCCTTTATAGATCTCAACGTGCTCAAGTAACCATAACGTGCGTGCGACATACATCCTGAACATGCTGACGTGATTCCAGTTTGCTATGCACATCCCTACCGCGCTAATAATAACCAAAAAACCAAACATCCCTACTCGTTGGTATACACTGCTGACCCGATGCTCCTGATAAGCCCAGCACTCTCCAGGGATAGCTCTTCAAAGCTGCTATCTGTACTTTACCTGTTCAAGGATGCAGAAGGTGCGCGCAGGCGCAATGCCTGACACATAGTCGCCACACTCCTGACCCTGCTCCCCATGCTCCTCATGCTCCCCACGCTCCCCTTGCGTTGCTGCCCCCGCTGGCCGTTCTGCTGCCCCAACTTGTTTCTCTCGTGCGCCCCGGTGTTGGCCCGGCTCCCACGACACCCACTGCCGCCCGATGGCAGGCACCTGGGAGCGTGCATGTAGTCCAGTGGTCAACAGGGACAATGGGGTCAACGGGGACAATGGGGTCAACGGGGACAATGGGGTCAACGGGGACAATGGGGTCAACGGGGACAATGGGGTCAACGGGGACAATGGGGGTCAACGGGGACAATGGGGTCAACGGGGACAATGGGGTCAACGGGGACAATGGGGGTCAACGGGGACAATGGGGTCAACGGGGACAATGGGGTCAACGGGGACAATGGGGTCAACGGGGACAATGGGGTCAATGGTTCAATGGATTTCTGTGCCACAGGTGTTAACCATTCTTGATCAATAGGTCAGCAAACGGTTCGAGTCAATGGGGTCACTAGCAAAAACCTCAAGCACTTGAAGGAGTGAAAGCAGGTGGTAATTGCAACTTAGGTTGTCCACGCCACGGGCAGCGATTCGTCTAAGAGGCACGGATTTCCGTCCCTTTAGAGATAGGTACACAGCCTGAGGAACGGAGAAGGAGAATTGGGGACGTTTGTGCAAGGAAACAACCAAGCCAAAAACCCGTAACAAATTGGGGATGGAAACTCCAGCATGTGCGAGTGTTGTGGTGTAGCAAGTCAACGCCTCACGTGTGGAAAATCAATGCCGTAGGTGAGAAGCGGAGAAGCCCGGGGGAATGCAGCGATGAAGGAATCCCCATGCTGCACCGTGATTGGCCGGTTTCCAGGCAGGTTCCACCTTCTCCTCTCCACAGTCACAGCACCACTGGCCGCACCACTAGCAGCATCGTTTGTGGTGCTGTGGGTGTGGTGCAGGGTGGCGGGGTGGATGCCGGTCGCCATGATGTGTCGCACCCACTCCGCTGCTGATCCGTCCAGTAGTGGCATCTGAGGACAGAAGAAGGCGAGGTTTCAGAAGGCGGGATCTGACAAGGCAAGGGTCAAACTGTTTTTGATCTGTTTGCATAACTGAACAAATTTCTTCTGTTTCATGATAACAAAACAACCATTTCACAATTTCCACAAGAAAGCTACTAAGGCGGGAATCTAGACCTCCCATAGAATCTCACCACTGTACACTGCACAACCCTTCAGGGTGCGCCACTCTTACCCGCCAGTGTAGCTCTCACTCTTCCCATGCGTCTCACCCGCCTGTCCTCACCTCACCTCACCTCACCTCACCTCACCTCACCTCACCTCGCCAGCGCCCTCCACACGAATCAAGCAGTTGTCCACGCCACACCCCTCCAGAGCCGACAGCAGATGCTCCACCGTTGCCAACCTCACTTCACTCTGTTCACTTCCCCCAGAAGAACTGGACGGAGCAGCAGCAGCAGCAGCAGCAACAGTGGAGAGCCGCGTGTCCACCACACTCCACACATCTGCACCGATCTCCACCACTCTCCCTCCTCCTCCATCCCCTTCTCCCCCTCCTCCATCCCCTTCTCCCCCTCCTCCATCCCCCCCAAGTACCATGTGGAACACCCGTCCCGAGGCAGCAGGGGCGGGCAGCAGAGTGACGGTGGTGGGACGGCCCAGATGCAGCCCCACGCCTGACACCGTTACTGGCGCCCTCAGCGTGCCCTGCCACTCGCCTGTCTGCCAGGGGCGCGGCAGCAGGGGGAAACGTGGGGAGGGCGCATTTGGCAGCAACAATTGTGTGGATGGAAAGGCACGGGAAAGGGGGAGAGGGGGAAAGGAGAGGGAGGGACGGTGGTGGGACGGCCCAGATGCAGCCCCAGGCCTGACACCGTTACTGGCGCTTTCAGCGTGCTCTGCCACTCACTTGTCTGCCGGAGGGGTTTGGGACAGGGGGAAGGGGGAAGAGAAAGGGGGAAGAGAAAGGGGGAGGAGGACTCGATTTTGACAGACGGAGGAAGAGTAGGAGAGGAGTGGAAAAGAGGAGAAGAAGAAAGAAATGTGGAATTTGGAGGGTGGGGGCATCCCATTCCCGGAAGACTTGGCTCGGCGCGCTTCACTCACGGGTTGGCTCAGCGCGTCCCACGACTGTGACGACGCACGCGCCAATGGCGACAGGGTGGCAAACGAGCGACGCAATAGCGGGGATGCAACCCTCGCCGCGATCCTGGTGCCCACCAATCCCAAGGCTCTAAGCGAATGAAGTTGGCACCCCATGTGATCAGAGATTTCGGAACTTTCGCGACTATGAGAAGGATAAAGAGATGCCTGCGAGGACGGTGACGGTAATAAGTGAAGGCGCGAACGCCGTGCGACGGTGCGACGTGTGAGAGATGGCGCGAGTGCTACCAGCAGTAGTACCGATGAGAGGTGCAGCGGAGTTTGCGGAATGGGTGAGATCGACTGACACGTGGCGAGTCGGGCCAGGAATGGCGGGCGATACGCGGAGAGCCACCGCCACTGCGGCGGACATGGTTGGGCGCGCAGGAGGAGCGGAAAGAGGGGCGGAACGGGGAACGGAAGGGGGCGGAAGGCCCTCGTGTGAGGAGCAGGAACAGCGAGAAAGAGGTCGCGACTCTTGAATGGTTAGGGCGTAGTGTGATATTTTTCTAGGTTCAGAAAACAGGTCGAACTTTGAATGTTACCGCTTTCCTTAATATCGCGAAAGATGTGTGACGAAAGACTTCTCTTATGAACACATGGCAAATGTGACCTACTTTTCTGAACTCGACTCGAGTGAATGCATTAAAGCCCGAGTCCAAAATTGCGGGCCGCGCGGGTCAAGCTTTTAAAACTTGACGAACTAGTGTTTTCAAGGTTTGACAAAAAGCGTGCCTGCAATTTGGGACTTTTGGGAACTGAACCAACCCCCAGGGCGAAATACGAGGGCGGGCTGGGTTTGGCGAAAAAAACGAAAAAAGCGAAATCGGAATCTTTCGCCAAAACCCTCACCACAAAAACCCCCTCGCGTCAACCTTTTAAAACTTGTGCAATTTGGGCTGCCGGCTTTAACGTGGGCGTGTACAGTGAATGGAATGTGATGGAATGTGTGTAGTTTTGGGCACTCACGATAAATGGGCGCATTTCACGAATCTTTCGCGATACAATAAACTCTCCGATGAAAATGCAGTCGGTATGTTGGCGTGACACGCTGTCAAGGGAATCATACCTGGTAAGGACGTGTCTCAAACGAGCAATTCCACGCGGGTCCGACGCGGATCTGACGGACCGGCTCGAGAACCAGCGCGTGAACCAGCAACGGACTGGACCAGGGTTTGGGCTTCACTTACCGTTATAGCGTTAGAATAGCACTACAACGGTGCCTTCGATTTGGTCGCCAGACCAGTCCGCCTCTGGTAAAAATACAGTCATTTCACATAACAGGTATTATCGTAATTTTCGCGCAAGATTATCACGGAAGCTTCAACGGGCATATAAACAAGGGCAACTCAATTTCAGCAAATAATTGTGTCGTCGTCTTTACTGCAATTCACGACGACTGTAGCAACACATCAAGCAGACCAGTCCGCTTCTGGTCCACGGCTGGTCTGCCAGAAGGGTCCGTCGGACCGGACTTCGGACCAAGCATGCACATTTTAGCAACAGACTAGGACCGTGCAAACCAGTCACATTGAGACGCCCTCTAACCTACTCCCTCCCTAGGGGAGGCTCGGCGCCCCCTGTAAGGTCGAACATTCAAATTCGACCTTGAAGGCGCGGTACATAGTTGTTCAAAAACTGTTCATGTCCTGTTCAACAGGTAGACCTACTGAGTTATCATGTTAACCAATACATGATAAATCAGTATTGTTGTATATTTGTGAACGACTTGACCAATAAGAAGGCGATGTCACAAAGTACAGGCAGGAATGAATGAACTAGCAGCATGATGGGTACAAGTAGGAAACCCTAATCTGGGTTGTACCCCATATGGGCTACCCCACTACAGCCTACACAATAAGCAGCATATATGTTTGACACACCCCCATAGGCAAAGTGGGGGGGAACAAGAGGTCACACGACCAGTCAAGAAAGGCAAAGCAAGCTCAGGGTGGATCACAAAGTCACCACGCATTCTGAGCCTAAGCAAAGGGCCACAAGGCCAGTTCACATGCAGAGGTATATATGCAACAACACAGTACAGTGATCACTACCTAGCAAGAGCAAGCATGCAGGTATATATACATAGATCACAGTACAAGCAAAGCCTACAGCAAGTGAGGAAACGTAGGCACGAGGCCCAACAAAGTACAAAAGCGCTGATGATCACCAGACGGAAGTGCCTTGGTGAATATATCAGCAGTGTTGGCACTCGTGGCCACGTGAGCAAGACGAAGCTGACCACGCTGCTGCAACTCTCGAGCCAGAAAGTAACGCAGAGCGATGTGCTTCGTTCTGTGCTCCAGTCTGTGCTCCTAACACAAGGCAATGGCGGCCTTGTTGTCGACGTACAGAACTGGAGGAGAACGAGGCCTCTCTCCCAAGTCAGTCAGCAGGTAGGTGAGCCAGCGCAACTCCTGAGCAGCCATGGCTGTGGCGTAGATCTCAGCCTCACAACTGGAGCTGAGAACACAAGATGAGCGAGTAGAACGCCAAGAAACAGAGCCAGAGCCAAGGCTGAAGGTGTAACCCTGTGACGACCTCTGCGTAGCCTGGTCGTCAACCCAAGAAGCGTCTGAGTGTCCAGTGAGGACAACGTCGCTCCGTCCTCCAAGCACGAGCCCCATGCCCGATGTACTGCACAAGTAGCACAGTACCCTCTTCGCAGCATCCATGTGCACCTTTCGGTGCCGACCAGGAGCCACGTAGCGAGCCAAAAGGCCAAGAGGGTACGCAAGGTTAGGTCGAGTGCAGGCCATCAGGTACATGAGGCAGCCCACTAGCTCTGCGTAAGGACCACTCGACTCTACGGACTCGTCCGAAGGTGGAGCTGAGAGTGAGTGACCTGTAGCAAGAGGAGTGGACTGTGCGGAGGACCAGGTGAAGCCGAAGTGCTGAAGGACCTGCTGCACCATGTGTGACTGAGTCAGTGTGATGGTGCGGCGTGCTCTGTCCCGGGTGATATGCAAGCCAAGGTAACTGCGCAGCTCACCCAGGTCTGTGTGTAAAGAATAGAACGAGAATGGGTGTGACTAACAAGAAAGGGAGTACAAATATGAAACCTTAGAGTTCTGTACCCCCTAAGGCTAAACCCACTGTAGCCTACAAAGCTACAACATGCATAATGTTTGACACACCCCCATAGGCAAAGTGGGGGAGAACAAGGGGTCACAAGACCAGTCAAGCAAAGCAAAGCAAGCTCAGGGTGGATCTCAATGTCACCACACATTCTGAGCACAAGTTCAAGGCCAGTTCACATGCAAGGTTACATATATATAACGCTAAACAAGCAAGGGCAGGTATATATATGTAACAGTACAAGCAAGGTCAAGAAGTAAGCAAGTGAGGCAAGGTAGGCACAAGACCTAACAGAGTACAGAAGCGCTGATGATCACAAGGCGCGAGTGCCTTAGTGAAGATATCAGCAGTGTTGGCCTCAGAGGCCACGTAAGCAAGGCGCAGCTGACCACGCTGCTGCAGCTCACGAGCAAGGAAGTAGCGAAGAGCGATGTGCTTCGTTCTGTGCTCCAGTCTGTGCTCCCGACACAAGGCCAGCATGGCCTTGTTGTCTACGTACAGCACTGGAGGAGAACGAGGCGGCTCTCCCAGGTCAGTCAGCAGGTAGGTGAGCCAGCGTAACTCCTGTGCAGCCATGGCCCCTGCGTAGATCTCAGCCTCACAACTGGAGCCGAGAACAGAAGACGAGCGGGTAGACCACCACGAAGAAGAGCCGGAACCAAGGCTGAAGGTGTAACCCTGTGACGACCGCTGCGTAGCCTGGTCGTCGGCCCAAGAAGCGTCTGCGTGACCAGTGAGGACCACTGGACTCTGCCCTCCAAGCACAAGCCCCATGCCCGACGTACTGCACAAGTAGCGCAACACCCTCTTCGCTGCAGCCATGTGCTCTGGTCTGTGTCTCCCAGGAGCAACATAGCGTGCCAAAATGCTAAGAGGGTATGCAAGGTCAGGTCGAGTGCAGGTCATCAGGTACATGAGGCAGCCAACAAGCTCTGGGTACGGGCCACTCGACTCTACGGACTCATCCGAAGGCAGAGCTGAGAGCGAGTGGCGTGTAGGCAGAGGAGTGGCCTGAGGCGAGGAGTACGTGAAGCCGAAGCGCTGAAGGACCTGCTGCACCATGTGTGACTGAGTCAGGGTAATGGTGCGCTGTGCTCTGTCCCGGGTGATCTGCAAGCCAAGGTAGCTGCGCAGTTCACCCAGGTTTGTGCACGTGTGTCTCTTCTGCAGCTCGGACTTCACGTAGGCAAGTCCAGCAGTGTCAGCTGTAGCAAAGACCAAGTCGTCGACGTACACGAGGATGTAGAACGGCGGCAAGGAAGAGTCGGTGCGCAGAAATAGCGACGGGTCGGCAGTAGAAGGAGCAAACCCAAGAGCCGCAATTGTAGTCCTCAGTGTGTCGTGCCACTCACGAGGCGCCTGGCGGAGACCGTAGACTGGCTGCCGGAGGCTCCACTGGGTGCCAGGAGGAAAAGTCCCAGTGAAGCCAGGTGGGCGGCGCAGTCAGATCTCCTCGTGCAGGCTGCCCTGCAAGAAAGCAGTGCTGAAGTCAAGGGAGTGAAGCTCGTAGTCTCGGTGAGCGGCTATGTGCAGCAGTACCCGAAGAGTGGTCATCTTCGGGGTGGGAGAGAAGGTCTGAAAGTAGTCAACTCCCTGCCGCTGACTGAAGCCACGAGCCACGTAACGCGCCTTGAAGACAGGCGGAGAACCCGGCGGCCGCTTCACCCTGAAAATCCACATGCCACTGACGATGTTCGCCCCAGGCGGGGGAACCTCGTCAACGTAGGTGCCTGTGAACTTCCAGGAAGCCATCTCTGCGTCCATGGCTGCCTGCCACTGAGAGGAGTAGGGACCCTCTATCGCCTCCGCGTAAGAGCGCGGAGTCGGGATGTCAAGTGCATCCGGGTCTCCCTCAGGGGCAAGCAGCATGGACACGAGATGAGGTGAAGCAGCAGCCAAGCACTGGAACTCCTCCTGCCTGTCCTCAAGGACGTCCGTGCCAAGAGCACACTCACCTCCGACGGACGGAGGACAGACAGACTCAGACTCAACAACAAGACTGGCAGCGTAGTCTAGACGACAGCGAGCAGCGAAGTCGACAAGCTCAGCAACTAGAGCAGACGCAGCAGTAGACTCAAAGGAAGGGTCAGTGACGACAGTAGCAAGGAGACGCGTGACAGTAGGACGCGCATCACGAAAGGAGTCCGACTCAGGGTCAGGAAGGTCAGGAAGAGAGGACGCGGGAGGAGAAGGCAAAGGGGCACGCAGAGGAGCAGTGGAAGGACGCAGAGACATCCGGTGCGTGCCGGGGACAGGGGGAGGACGCTGACGCGAACCACGACCACTAGTGCGAGC